AACTCTTTCAATTTCTTAACCAATCTTAATTACAATGCTTAAATGTTGCAGACAAAACTCTTTGTTGTAAACTTTTCCGAATCTGTTAAGCTTGCATGCAATTGTCGGAATGTTGTAAAAACTTATATGCAAATATCGAAATCTCGTAAAGAACCGCTAGTCTGGTAGTTAAGCCATTGTGTCTGGAATGAATTTTTAACAGATTAACAATCTATTAAAAACTTCACAACATTCTGTAAGACGATTTAGCTTCAAAGCTCTCACTATGCAAGGAGCTAGATTTGTCATCCTGACGGTCAGTTAACAAATCTAAAAAGTTCGAGCAGTCATTTAATCCGACAGTTCCCACAATTACACAATCCGATAGCTTGCTGTTGCTGAATCATCCAATCAGAAAGCTTGCGCAAGCACCCAAGGCAATAGTATAGTCAGGCATTCAATTTCGGACAGTGTTTCAACGACAGAGAAGAGACAATTCAATAGTTCAACAACACGAACGACAAGACCGTTTGGTATCCTCTAATACTTACTGTGTATTTTTTCATTCCGTTTCTATTATTATATCAATGCGATATTGTACCATAGTCGTATAAGACCAATAAAGGTTACTATCAATGATGCGGCAATACACAACAAAAGTAAACTTTCCCTGATACGCTTATCCTATGTTCAAAATGCACGTACTTGTATGGTGTCTCGTAGGTTAACCAACCGGAAATGAAAGTTTTATACACCTTCATTCTCTACTCATATTTCCCTTAATATCTACTGATAAATGATCACATCACATTTCCGTCTATCATTAACCTGGGATTCGTGATACATTTTCCTTGAGTTGTCGTTTCTGGTTGGAAATGTTCATAGGTTTTCATCATTACTCTCAGCATCACTACCATTGCAGGATTATTCAACTACTGTTTGAGTGACGATATGGAGAAAATGACGAATGTTATTTGCTAGAGATGCATTGTTAGAGTCAATGCAAGTTAATTTCACGTTTTTTCTCAGTCAAATGAACATAGATAAGGATAATAGGGCAAAATTCAATAAATCAATCAATGCTTGCTCTCCTATGCTCATGCTATTCACGACTGTAAATTGATATTCGATAAATATTGCACATACGTAGAGAGATGCAAATGCGCAGGTAACTCCCAAACGGTAGTCCGCGGATCACAGATGGTGTGCAAGAACTGAAATACGGTCTACGAGAGTGACGGCGCAATAAGCAGAAAACAGGCAGGGACTATTCTTATCAGTGTTTGATAAATCAATATGTTAAAGGTTTTTTCAAATTAACAATTTATTATTAATGAACCTTTTCGGTCTCTGCGGCAAATAAGCCAAAGTGGTCTCTGATGATAGGAACTACAAGTTTAAGGAGTAGTGCAAACAAGCTTCTGATAATGCCAGAGATTGAGCGAGGACAGATTTCGGGAGAGGGTAGGTTAGGACAAATTAAGGGAAATGAAAGATAAACGGTTCACGGAGAGTTCTCATTGTGGGGGGTTAGATTTTTGAATATCATGCAAATGGCAAATCATCAGATACAAGTCGTTTTACTGCCTGATTATCTGTTATTAAAGAGAGTATCAAACGTAGAAAAAGGAATGGGAGAGGGGGGAGGGTGGGGGAGGATGCGGTTATTTGATATTCAATCTAATCTATTTTTGCGCATACGTAATTTTGACAAGATTTACTTTTTTTTAGAGTGCAAGTAATGGGGCCTGGTATCTCCAAATATTGCGACGAAATGTTGAGGCGCTTATGCCGATGCTCCATAATTGCCTTTGGTTGACTCATAAACTGTTGGTGTGGTTGCTATGGATGCAAACGGACGCATTTTCGAAAGGATTAGGAAGCTTGAGTAGTGTTAAGTGATTGCCTGACCACCGCCACTACCACCGCCACTACCACTACCACTACCACTACCACTACCACAATCACAACCACTACCAACACTATTTCCCACCATTTTATTATCCTGAATTTATGCATACAATGTCTCCGGTTCATTCGTCATAAACGTTCGGTGCAGCTGAAACGTGGGAATTCTTCCCTGTTATAACCCCTACCGTTCCGTATTATTCACACTGCCATCAAGTTATATTGATTACAATGTCCTCCATCGTAGACTTTCTGATCGTGTTCATTAGCAGACTAATTGGATCTATTCAACGTTTTTCATTGCTGCTTCTCTTTCATTATTCCAAACTACCGCTATGGTTCCTCTGCCTTGGAAAGAGTTGTTTTATTCTCAATATGATTTTTTATACTCTAATGCGAAATTTTGACGACACAATGGTCGTACATGCACAACCGTGTTCTGGTAATACTTATTTTCTACTCCTTTTTATTAATATTCCGCTTGCTTTATTTGTAATTGACTTTTGAAAACCGATAAACTGATAAAATAATAGGAACAAGTAATAATAATAATAACAATAATAATAATAATAATAATAATAATAATAATAATGATAATAATAATAACAATAATAATAATAACAATAATAATAATAAT